AGCTTTGTTAACATGTCCCGCAGGGCAGTGTCAGGTCATGCTCAGTGTCCTGCCTCTAAACAACCCCCTTCTTCCTCTCTGTGGCATTTCCCACAACCATCACCTCCTCCTCCAGCTCCACAGCCAGGCCCAGCAGCCAAGCCCAGCTGGCAGCAGTGTGAGGCACAGGGAGAGCTGCAGAGCTCTGTTGGCTGCGCTGTGTGTTTGTGCTGGGGAGCAGGAGGGCACACAGGAGGCAGGTACAGCACGGGGCAGCGAGGGCAGCACAGACCCACACTCTTGTAGGACCCACAGACAGGCATTTCTCTCTTCTTCACTTCTCCCATAAAATTAAGAGACACGTTTTAATGACAGTTTGCTGAAATGTTCACTCCCTGCTGATTTGACATTGGGCAGAAAAAGTGTCTACAAAATCAATTTTTAATAAATGTAAACAACTAAATTATGAATGACAGAAATATCACTGAACAGTTAAATATTAATCACATAATTACTTAAATTAATACTTTTAGTGCAATATTGTGATAGAGAGCTCTACTTCCATAGTGTTGCTGCGCTGGCTGGGCCGGTGTGTGGGGCACGACAGGACCACAGTGCCCCCCCAGCAGAGGGACTTGGGGACAGAGCAGTCTCGTGGTGCTTGCCACAGCCCCAGTTGCTTGTTGTCCCACAGGTCCTGCAATACTGGGTGCTCCTCTTAAGACCTCTGGAACCAGATTTATTAAGAAAGAACTTCTGTTTTCTGTTCAAAATCAAGCTGTCAAGAAAATGGCTAAACTGGCCCCAAACGAGAAAGTAACCCACTCCACCCCAAAAATTTTCCTGTCCCAGAGTACCATTAAACTTGCTGACAGCAGTGTGTGATGTGCAGAGCCATGGCTGTGCTCAGGGATGGTGCTGGGAAGACCAAGGGTGCTCCAGCTGGAGCAGTGGGTGCCAAAAGCCCTGGCTGCTCCTGAGATAGAGTTGGGAGAGTTTAAGAAAGAGATGGTGTGTCATGAGCTCTGCTGTAGGGGCTGAAGTTACTGCCCTGTGGGCCCCCTCTGTGCTGTCACCTTGACAGATGCTGCAGGGAGCTGGACAATTGGTCACCAAGGTTGTGGGGGGTGGGCAGCAGCAGCTGTCTGTAGGTACTTGCAGGCAGCACTCAGCTTCTTTCTCTGCCCAAGAAACTAAGAAAAGAATTTACTGGCACTCTTGTCCTTGTGGGTTGGCTGGCTGTGTTGTTTGTTTTTAATCTAATAAAAGAAGATCTTAATATCATAGTAAAATCGGTACAAAGCTGGAAACTCACCCCTCGGCGTTTTGGCAAAACATTATTGAAAATGTAAAAGCCTTTAGCAGAAACAACAGAAGCACAAAGAAACAGTAGAAATAGGATCAACAGGTTGTGTTCTGGATGTTGGGAGAAGTGGGGAAATGCATCCAGCCAGGGCTCGAGGTGCCAGGGAGACCAGCTAGTCTGGGGGCTGGACACCAGCCCCGCTGGCTCTGCGCCGTGGGGACGTGATGCAGGTGGGACCCTGGGAGGGTCGGGGTGGGCAGCACTGCAGAGCAGAGCACTGCCAGTGTCCAGGCAGTTGGGAAGAGCACGGTGCCAGGAGGGCAGGAGCAACTGAGGAGGAAGAACAGGCGGGTGGGAGGATCTGTGCACGGGGCAGATGGTGTGAGCATGGCGGGACCCGGCCAGGGAGGTGGAGGCAGTGGAAAGGCACACTTGCTATCCTTAGACTTGCAACTGCTGGAATTGATCCTGGCTCAGTCTGCTCCCTGTATGGAAGTTAAGTATTGGACACAAATTTTAAGAGTGTTTCTAAACTAGAAAGTGAAGCATCTCTTGCAAAAAGGTAGGAATGCTGAAGGAGTCTTCATTGCTCAGTCTCACCCTTTGCTGTGGGATCCAAGTGCAGCTCTATTCACCTTGACTTTGTTTTCCTGTGCCTCGCACCTCTTCACAAGCATCACTGGAAGTACTATTCCTGTGTGCCATAAGCAAGTGCCTCCTGAGAATACCATTACCTAGTTTGTCCACCAGTGCAGTGCTGGTCACCATGACAGCTCATAAAAACAACCATTTGTGGGATGACTTCTGCCCAATCTGAGCTGCAGCCAGCCCCCACGACTTTAACTCATGGCACTGGAAGGAGCAGCTTCCTGAGGCTACCAGCCAGCCTAGTACCTTATTTCTGATCATCAACAAGTTTGGACAGTGCAAAGCCATTCCTGTCCCTTGCACTTGCTGGCTGTGTGATGGCCTGGGTGGATTTTGCTTCCATGATTCTGTGTGCAGCCTTTCATTCTGGCCACCACAGACCATCCACAGAGGGCTCGGGGTCGCCGTGGGGCTTGTGGAGCTGCTCCAGGTCACTGTGCTCTTTTCCATAGCTTCACACATGATGAGTAACCCTGGCAAGCCAACTCCCCTTTTGAAGCTGCTGTTTGAGTTCTCTTGGTGCTCCCACAGTGTTGCATTTTCTGATTGACTGTTCCAGGTATGGTTTGTACTGGTGAGAAGGGAGAAGCAGGAGTGCTTTCCACACGCAGCATTACAACATGCTGCAGCAGAGTTGGTTCTTGGAACATGGCAGCCCCCTAAAACGTCAAATAAATCCTTAAACTATTCATCACTCTGTTTTTGGGGTGGCAGTTAAGTCTTTCAACACTCTGCGAGTTTCTTTCCCCAGCAGTAATTTCACTGGTGAAGAAATACAGCTCAAGGCACTCCACAAAGGCCTCAAAATTCATGTTTTGTTTTCATTACCAAAAAAATGCTTCACTACATTTAAGAGTGGCCCATTAAAACTTTGTACCCTGTCTTCTCTGCGCCCTGTCGTTGTTGGCAAACCCTCCCCCGTGCGCGTGCAGAGCCCAGCAGCAGCTTCTGCAGATCCACAGAGAGAGGGGACCAGGGCTCAGCCACAGCCCAGCTTGTTTAGGTGTCAGACCTCAAAACTTTCAATAGCCAGGCAGATTTAGTAAATGTGTGTACTGAACCTTAAGCTACCAGTGCTTCCTCTGCTTTCAGTCTGTCCCAGCACAGCACACTGGCTCATGTGTGTGTCCAAGGAAATGCATTAACTGACTGGTTCCTGGAATAAAATGTAACCCTGTACAAAGCAGTAGCTTTAACTGTCTCAGGCAAATGGCCCTAAAACAACAATGAAAAAGAAAACAATGACTCACTAGTCTTACTGAACTTTGGGATTATATGAATTAAATGTTGCCGCGTGAACTGGACGGTGTTCTCTGATCCCATATAAACGCTGGAGGTTGGAGAAGGCAGTAAACCTGTTAATAATTAGGGTTTAGGGGAGCATTTGGTTACTCTCACAAGTAATTCAGAGTAGCTGAACGCTGACACAGTCATGAGAGAAGGCAGTGAAAGCTGGAGACTGTGCTTAAGAGGACAGGAAGTTTTCTAGCAAAATTCAGTGGGGACTTACTAAGTTCAGTTTTGTTTAATATTTCCACAGTTTAGTTAGATATAAATGGCACATTAATTAAATTTGCAAGTATATTGAGAAGTTAGAAGATCAGAGCGAGGTGCAGCTGTGGAGAGCACATCTCACCATGTTGCATGAACCAGGACCCAGACCAAGTGATGCAGGGCCCAGCCAGAAGCACCAGCACTGCAGAGGATGGTGGGGAATCAAACCTGCCCCTTCCCATCACCGGGATGGGCACTGGAGTCACTTCCATCCGCTCCCCAGAAAGCTCGGGGCGGGGTGGTGACGCTGGAAGGAGGGAGGCAGCAAGGCTGTGGCTGCAGCATTCATCAGCAGTGCTGGACACGGCCTCTGGCAGGGTTTGATAAGCTTGTTTTCCAGGGCAGGGGAAAGCAGTGCCCTGGTCTCAGCGAGGGATGTGGGGGGATTTCATGGCCCATTTGAAGGGGCGGCCCGATGGTGAAATCCAGGCGGCTGCGGGATGGTCTCTCTGGGAAATGGAGGAGTCCTCACTGGCAGGGTTATTTAAGACTCGACTTTGAAAGACGAGACACTCTGCAGTTGGGAACAATGCTGCACTGTCAGAGAGATGGACTCAATTACTTAATAGGTCTTTGCTGTCTGTCTCCTGCGATTTCCCTTTCAAGAACATATATTCAGCTGGGTTATTTCTCATGGGAAGACAAAGTGTTGTGAGAGAAGCCAGGCATTTGGAGGGGAGAGGCGGGAGGAGCGGCAGCCAGGCAGATGCCTGGTTTGCTCTTTGTGGAGCACGCTCCTCAGGACGTGGAAAAAGCTGGAGTGATCCTTTGGTCCTGTAACCAGCTGATCAATGCGTCTCACAGGTCTCGCTTCCTCTTCTTTGCTCACAAAAGATTTGCCACTTTGCTCTCCTGCTGCCAGGCTCTGATCCCCAGGACTGCTGGTGGTGGCACTGTGGTCCCACAGGCAGTGCTGTACATGCTGCACAGGCCATTGGTTTCTGTTTTGTCAAAACCTTTTGTGTTGGATGGACACTGACAGGTCCACACAGCTCATCTGGGTGCATGGGCAGCCTCCCCTCTAGCACGGGAAGGCTCCCATGGCATTGCATCCAACAGCAGCCAAGCAGGAGGAAAAGCTCATCTCCAAGTAACCACTTGGTGCTGCTGTGTTAGGACGTGGTGAACAGGAATGTGTGATGGAGCCAGTGATTCCTGTTCTCACCAGAATCACTCTGCCAGCCATGGGGTGAGCGTGTCATGGGCACTTTCTCGCTGGGGTCACGGGCCTCGCTGGCAGCCCTGGTCGAGGGCAGGAGGGCTGGGTGCCAGGGCAGCTGCAGGGCTCTCGTGCTGGTGTGTCTGCATGTGCACACACGTGTGAGCATGTGGGGGCACACACATGCCCAGGGCATCCATCTCTGTGCACTTGTTTGTCACCAAATTAAGATACTGTGTTACCTTATGCACGTAGAATTGATGCACCTAAATTGGCTGGATGTTCTTAAGCCCTGGGGCTGTAATGAGATTTTGTCTCTTTTGCCCATTTCTTTTTCTCTTCTTTTTTTTTCAGAATAAGTCGTCTGTTTAATGGCACAGAGCCTATTGTCTTGGACAGTTTAAAACAACACTATTTCATTGATCGAGATGGAGAAATTTTCAGATATATATTAAGCTTCCTAAGGACATCTAAGCTACTGCTCCCAGATGACTTTAAGGTAAGGAAAGCTATAGTCTGCAATCTATTTTTTCCTCCCGTTCTGTCATTTGTTTTGGTGCCAGTTGGTTTGTGTGCTTGACCTAAACACACTTAACTAAATGTTGCTGTTTATTTGTTAGGATTTTTAGTACTTGTGTATTACACTAGGGATGCTGTTATTTAATAAATGGACCAATGGTTGTCATGGATACCATAAAAAGTTAAACGATGAAGCTTATGGCTAAATCAGTTTTTGTAGACTAATTGTATTTTCTCACATTTTTAGCTTATTTATCAGGGTATAACAACAATTAAGAAACAACATCAGCAACTAGCACTTACCAGGGTTTAATGCTCTGAATCTGAAAGAAATGTTTTAAATTTGATACTTAGAGGACTTGAACTGTATAAATCTTTTTCTTGTTGGTATAAAAAAGGAACACACTTAAACAAGCCCATAAGAATTTGTGTTAGATATAACCAATGCAGATACTTTGACTTCAGGAAGTAATCTGTTCACAGTTTGTGAATGTCAAAATATTCTTGGGAGATGGAATGGAGTGAGGGTTTTTTAAGGAGCAGTGCATGTTTTCTGTGAAATAGTGGCGCTGGTTGTTGCTTTGCAGGCCCTGATTGTTTAAAAGCTCTCCTCTCAGCCTTGTTTGTTTGGCTTCGCACTTACGAAACTTCCAGCATTGTCACCCTCGTGTATGAAAATTGGAAGACAAAAATGTGCAAACTGTAGATGACAAGATTAAACAAAAGCACTTACTCCAGGACGAAATGATGAATAAATTGGGATGGCAGAAGGGGGTGTGCTTGGTTGGAGGAGCGGAGCATTGCTGGAAAGGAAAGCTCCTGCGCTCTGCAACCCGATTTCACTTTGTTGTGTTGGGTGGGCAGGATCACTTGGCCACTTATGACTGAGTCAGTCCAGAGTTGTGGTGGTGGTGGAGGCTCTAGCTTTGGAGTACAGTTGATCCTCGGGCTGCAACTGCTCCTCAGCCATTCTTGCCTGAGTTATGAGGATAATCATGTTTGATCCATCATGGGAGGGTCTGCAGTTGGTGCTGAGGGGACGCGCTGGGTGGTGGGAGCACACGTCTCATCACGGGGCTGGAAGAAGGTTTGGCACTTGTGGGCAGTTTTGGAGCTCCAGCCCAGAAGGGATGTCCTGAGCACTGGTCTTTCAGGCAGGTCAGGGAGGCTGCCCTGGGGGTTGGGGTGCTGTGAGACAGGGTGAGAGCACTGAGCCGTGGGTGTGAGAAAACTCTTCACAGAGACGTGAGAGGAAGCACGTGGGTAGCAGTGAAGCTAAAGAGCAGAGCAGTCCTGTGGGTTGTAAGATGGATCAAGTAAAGGGGGGTGGGTGGAGAAGTGGGACAGGTGCCAGAGAGATGCTTTAGCAGCAGTGTTGTGGACAGTCTAGTGGGACAAGAAGGTGTGAGAAGAGAGGGTAAAAGAGATGCCGTTCAAGCTGATCATGGCCTCAACCAGCATCCAGATTTCAGAGGTGCTCTGCAACAAATCCAGCAGGATTCGGCAAGAGCCTGGAGGAGACAGTGCCAGTGGATGCCAAGGACTTGTCTGCACAGCAAGCCTCTGGCAGGGCTGGGAGAGACTCAGGAGAGCCGGCGCTGTGCCCGGGCTCAGGCCGTTGTTCCAGACCATCTCTTTGCATAGGGTTAACTGTATTTTATTTAGTTCCTCCCTGGGAGAGCTTAAGAGCAAACCCCAGGCTAATGAGGGCTCAAGAACAAAGCAAAGCATTGCTAGGTAGGGAGTAACTAAATAAAAATGCGTAGAAGAATGCGCTGTAAAGCTATATTAAAACTGCATTGTAAACGGATTTGACTTCACAGAAATCGTGTAATTTTACCAGCATGATTAAAGTGACAGAAGACAATAATCAAAGGCAGCAAATGGAATCACTCGGTGTTTCTAAATGCAAAACTCTATTTAAGGTATAAAACCTGACAGGTTTTCCAGTGAGACTTGCATTAAATGTTCTTTATGTCAAACAAAGCATTATCAAGTGTTTTGAATATTTATTAGTTTTTACCCCTTAATTTAATCAAGCAGTTTATTAGCCTCAAGGTTTAGCCAAGTTGCTTTTCAACTTGAATTGCTGCTCAGATGGTTATTTTGGAAAGTTTGGAATGTTAGTACCGCACCAGCGTTATTGTGTTTGCTATTTCGGTGTTGTTTTCAGACTAAGTTAACACTGAAATGCAGGAAAAGTGGGGTATGTGTTCTGAGGCTAGTGATTCTTTATTATCAAGTCTGAGTGGTGTGTTTACAGTGAATATTAATTACACTTCCAACTGCTACTCAGACAGAACTTGAAAGTGTCTCCCAGGTCTTCCTGCTGCAAGCAGCTCTCTTACAGTTCATACAGTTTTCCTGGGTTTGGGGGATTTTAAGCCACATGAAGTGTGTTGAGGAATTACTGTGAGTGGTTTGGCTGAGTTCTGCTCTGCAGCCAAGCCAGGTGATGGTGAGCAGCCCCTTGCAGCTCCCTCCTCCTGCACTGTTCAGTGTCCTGTGCGTGGGACCACAACGTCCTGGAGCAGAGCATGGAGCCAGCACCCCCTGGGTCTGCCACGCTGCTGGGTTAGGGGGTGGCTGGCACAGGAACTGCTCCTCCTCTGGTGCCCAAATATTCTCTGCCTTGATCTCCACCCTGCCATCAGAGGTGCTTCCCCAGGACGTTTATGAGCAGCACGTGTCTCCCTCACTTCATGCAGAACCAGGACCCATTGTACCTCCTTGTTTGAGACTCACTCCCTGCTCAGAGAGCATCAAACAAAAATAGACATAGGCAATGTGTATATAGTTACTCCATCTGAAAGAGGGGAGGAGCACAAATGCACAGGACATCTGAGTTTTATATGGATTACAGAGGTCACCAGAATGACAAGGCCACCACTAATTTATTAATACAGTTACAAAATTAGTGTGCTTTCATCTAATTTTAAGTCTTCTCAGACTGACCTTAGCAAATGGTGCTGTTGTCATCACAGAAGTGAGCAACTTTCTCTCGTAGCCAGGAGTCAGATCTTCACAGCACTAAAAATATAAAAGAAACGTTGAGTCAGAATGACAGTTTGTTGTTTCATGTAATAAAGAATAACAAGTGAAAAATAGGCAGAAAGAGCCATTTCAGCCTGTTCAGGAGTCAACCTTAGGTACAAAAAAATACAAGATATCTTTGGTACTGAGAGAGCAGCATCAGGGTCACGGGAGACATGGTGTCTCAGTTTCTGTTGGGTATCTCTGCTTGTAGTTGGCAGATCTGTACTGACCCACTGCACTGACATCAGAACAGCAGCACAACCAGCCTTGAGGTCACACCTCCCAGCTCCTCCCCAGGAAGATGCCATCCTTGTCATAGGTGACTGCAGAATTTAGCCAATGTGAAATCCACCAGAAAAAAAGACTTTTCTGTCCAACAATAAGCAGAAAGTTATTTTTTTGAAAGGCAAAAGGCTGCATCTTTGAAAGATCTGTTTACCTTTGCCATGAGATCTGAGTGTTGGCCAGATGTGGATGGAGGAAGGCTGTGTGCATCCCACCTGCCTCTCTGCTCCCTTTTGCAGGTGAGCTGGCAGAACTTCCCCACTAGTTCCTACAACAGCCACAAGAAGTTGAAGCTCATGGTAGCTATGAATGCTTTTTGTGGTACTTTACAGAAAAATTAGAGGCTGTACTATCTCCCCATTCAGTCTAGCCAAGAGCACCCTGCTTGTGAGCAGGGACCATTACTGGCAGTGGGAATCACCTTTGGAGTAAAGTGGTTTTCCTCAGCTAAAGAGAAGCAGCTCCTTTAGCTCTCATAGACAGTGCTTGACTCTGAGCTGTGCTGCCACAAGGTACACTGCTGTTAAGAAGCTGGGAAGGTAGGGAAGTAATCCTTAGAAGAAGTGGAAGAGGCATTAGTCCTGCAGGACAAGGAACTCCTGGATTCTGTACAAAATCTGCTGTGGATGCTGCTCAGCAACGCTGCACTGGCACCAGGGCTGGAGCCCCTGTGAGACAGAGGGTGCAGTATCCATGTGCAGTATCCCAGAAGCTGTGCCAGGCTGCTCTGAGGCTGAGTCTCAATGAACCCCTGAGCACTTTGCCACTGTAGTACTCCTGTGCCTGGTTCAGGGAAATGTGCCTTTTGGATAGGTCCAGGAAGATTCATGTCTACATCTGCCTTTGGTAACTCATCAAAACTAACAGCATGGAAATGTTTTCTTGCAGTTCCTGTGGCATCTTCCTGGCAAGGTCCCTTGTGGGTTGAACTCTTCTACTTCATATTTCCTACTAAACTTTTGCAAATCCAAATCATCATGTCGGATTTTATATCTACAGTGCAAGGGTGGACCCACCTATGCCAGTATTACCTGGGCATCCTGAGCATTCAGTGCAGATAGTCCAGAGCTGGGCATCGCTTCCAGTCCTGTCACAGACACACAGCTCTCCAAACAATGTATAAAACCTGAAGGAAAAGACCATGGGCTTGGAGGTGTGTTGAGTGTGAGACCCTGCCCTAGCACAGGCTTTGGAGAACTGGACCCCCATGCTGTGAGCCACTCATTCTTTGTTCCTGGTTTGGGGAAATCCTCTTCCCTCCCTAAAAGCACTGCTAGATTCCTTTGGGATGCCCCAGTCCCTGAGTGCAGGAAGGCCACACAGCCCATAAGAGGAGCAGAGCGGGTCGGGTTGTGCTGATGGTGCCCGTGGGCAGCACGTGGAGTGGGGGGGTCACACAAGGTGTCCCTTCCCAGCACTGTCACTAGTGGACAGCACTGAATTTCTCTTGCCTACAGAAAACCCTTTTTATCCCCTCTACTTGTTACAGCACAACAAATTCCTTTTATTGCCCCTGCCTGACAAGAGGTGCCCAGACTCCCTAAGGCTGAACGTGCACTTTGCCCCTTGGCACGAGTACACCTCAGTTCCCAGTGTCCATTACAGACCCATCTTTCAGGTGCTCAGTCCAAGTGTGGAATAGACATGGGATGAGAGTCTTATATTAGAACTAACCCTAACACCTTAGCTTAACCCAGGCAGTTATGACCAGGTCACCTTGTCCTACAGAGCATGTGATGCTCCAGCACAGCCCAGATTTCCACACAGCCACCTCAAGTGTGGCTGTGTCATTCTGGGAACAGTAGTGGAAGAGCTGTTTCATCTGAAAGCAGGTTTTCTTCTCACAAAATGAAACGAGAATATAAAATTTATCCTGTTTATTTTAGGGCAAATGATGACTAGCAGGAGTCACTAAGGAGCTGCATTCCATGCAGTGGGCTAAGAGCTGGCTGTGGGGGAGGTCGGGGTGGTGTGATCCTGGTTTTGTTTGTTTTGTGGCAGTACTGTTTTGGCCCGGGGGTGCAGCCCATCGAACTCCTGTGATTCAGGATACTGTCAGGCTAGTGCAAAGCCCAGTGAAGGCAGCCAGAGCCTCTCGTGAATGTAATGGGCTTTGCATCCAGCCTCAGGAGCACTGCTCTCTGCTTCCAGAAATGAAGGACTGCTTTTTCTGTCACTGTACCATCTCTTCTGGGTTTTACTGTGGAATTTTCTTAGCACATATTCGCTTGATTGCCCTTACAAATAATACCTTATTTTATAGTGACCATGAACCCAGATATTCTAAAACTAGTTTTTCAGGACCCACTGAAAACAGTGGATGACTTTCCATTGCCTTCAGTAAGCACCGGGTGCTCCTGTTCCCTCTACAGCATTTCATTTTTCCTTAGCGTTGCATGTTTTCCTTTGTTTGAAAAAGAGCTCCGTGGCACCAGCAGATGCCAAGTGAATGTTTGGTAGGGCACTGCACACACCTCTGCAGTGAACATGGTTGGGTGGTGGACTGTGCTGATTCAGTGTCCAGCATGAAGATTTCAGGAAATTTGGGACAGGGTTTTTTTTTAATTTAGGCCACTAACCCCTGTAGGTTTAAACTGATCCCCTGCTCAGTATCCAGGGAACTTCACTGGTTGACAGAGAAAAGCAGCAATGGTTCAGCAGAGAGTACTGGTTTTGGGGAAGGGTGAGAATACCTTCCATCAGGGGACCAGGCTTTGGGGCTGATGCTCTCTTACCTGAGAGAAGGTAGTGCAGCCAGTGCCCGGCTCTTTGTCTGGCCTGTTCCCAACTCTGGTTGTTTGCAGCATGCCTTCTGTACGATTTCTTCTTTAATCTTCCTGTTGTTTTTCATCTTCAAGCTGTGTTCCGTGAGTGTGTTTGTTGCCCTCATTTCTTCCCACTTGCTCTTATCCCTCTTCCTCTCTGCTCTGGTCTTTTTTTCCCTCCCTTAGCAGTGTGTGCATTGTCCCAGCCTTAACAGACATCAAAGAGATGTAAAGCATTGGATGTCCCTTTTGTAAGGCGATAACCTTGCCGCTGTCACTGTGAATATTCATACGTCTCCAGGCTGCAGGCAGCCCTGGGGTGAGGGAGCACCTCAGCTAACGGTGGTGGGTCTGTGGTGCCAAATTTGAACAGAGCTAACTGCTTTGGTTCAGTAATACCCTGCAGCAGCAGATTTTACAGGTTAATTCCAAACCACTCTGAAGAGTCGCACCTTTTTGTGCTGCGTGTTCACTTGATTCCCTCTCTTCCCTGAGTCCCTGGGCAGCAGCACACCCGTTATTTTTCATGGAATTTGAGTGCCCATTTCTTGATTATTCCTTGTCATGCCATTCTTTCCAGTCCAAATGATTCCAGTCATTTCACTCTTGTGATTTTTTTGTTTCATTTCACTGGTGTAGAACCAGCCTTTGTTCCAGGTGTTCCAGCATACTCCACAACAGTCAGGTACTGTCTTACCTGGGGTGCAGCATTTGCATCTTTAAAGAGGTGCAAGAGCCAGGAAAGCAAACAGCAGGTCTTTGCTGGTGCCGTGCTCTTTTTGCTCCTCTTCCCCTCAGGAGGCTGAAGGAGGTGGTGTGGCCACTGTAAGCAGAGTGCTCAGTGAGGGTGTCTCCTTCTCCTTCTTCTCAGGCTTGGCCTGGTGGGCACTGCTGCCTCCTTGAGTTGGGGGGGGCTGACACCCTTTGCCTCCACGTACTCTCACATGGCTGAGGTGGAAAGATGTGTCAGAAACCTGATGAAAGGATGTGCATCTGATGAGGATGTGCAGCAGATATCTCAATCACTGAACTGGGAACTGGATCAAATTGGGAATTTGAATTGCCCAAAGCCAAAGTGAGGTGATGGACAAATGGCAGGAAAGAACAGCTTCTTTTAAGCTATTGGAGTGCACAGCTGAGCTCCCAGCCAGCAGGATGGTCACTCCCTCCATATAATTTACCAGGCTCCAAAGTATGCTTTAAATACATGAATAGTCATGAAATGCAGGGAGCAGCTGAGCTGCTGCAGCTGAATTTCAGCCTCAGCAAAGACAGGTGAGAAGTGAAGCTGAACTGACATCTCCATCTCGTAACATGTGTGAGAGGCGACAGCGAAGCCTGAGATCTGTTGTAAGATCAGAAGTATCTGAGGCCAAGACTGAAGATTAGGGCTTGGAACATCTTCTCTTACATCAGTAGGCTTTGTTTATTGCAACCAGCTATTTTGATTTCTTAATCCAAGACTAAAGCCTTCTGGCATTGAGCTTGTGGGATAATAAATGAAAGGATAATTCAGTGCAATGGGAACTTCATGGTCAGCTCAAATAGATTCAGCACTAACACCATGTGGTTTTCTGTGTAGGTGTAAGATGAAGATATGTGGATACCTGTTGCCTTTGCGCTCTTGCTGACAGTACATAAGCCTAAGTAGGTCAAACAGGAACAATACTCGTTTTTAAAAGAGAACTATAAGCATTTCTAGTTTCTCTCTCTCCCTCTCTTTTCTTTTTTCTTCCTCCCAGGACTTTAATCTTTTATATGAAGAAGCAAAGTATTACCAGCTGCAGCCAATGATTAAGGAACTTGAGCGATGGAAACAAGAGAAAGAACAAAGGAAACATTTCCAGCCTTGTGACTGCTTGGTTGTAAGAGTGACTCCAGATCTGGGGGAGAGAATTGCATTGAGTGGGGAGAAGGCTTTAATAGAAGAGATCTTCCCAGAGACTGGGGATGTCATGTGCAACTCTGTAAACGCAGGCTGGAACCAGGACCCAACCCACGTTATCAGGTTTCCCTTGAACGGATACTGCCGGTTGAACTCAGTGCAGGTAATGAATGGCCTTTTGGTGCTGGCTCATCCCTTTGCTGGGGTGGTTTTTTTATTATGTCTTGTTCAATTATATGCAAATTATTTGCTTCTGCCCAATTACTTTCAGTGCTTATACTGCAAGGAGACGTTTTCTGCCTGGTGAGATCACAGTCTTTCAGGTTTTCCTAAGTCTAAGCAGAAAAATAGATTTAGATTTTGTGTATGTTAGTGCCATGCTGGTCTCATAATGGTGTTATACTGATAAATGCTAATTTTTTCATCAATGTATAGCCTTCAGCAGTTTTTTTTTTTCCTCCAAAGTGCCTGCAGGAAGAAAGAGAGAGTTCCAAAAACTACAAAAAAAAATCTCCACACCATTTTATAGAAAATGCAACAATGTGTAAATGCATAATTTATGTCTCACTCATAATTAAATGATGGTGCCTGCGGGATGGACTTAAAAAAATTGATCTCTGCACTTTTTTTTTTTTCAAAAGGATGTTCTATAAAAATTGCCCAGAGTATTTTAAACAAAATGTATTTCATTTTATACGCAGAGTTTTGACGTTAGGTTTAAAATTAAACATATGAAACAAAAGAAGATAAGTGGACAGATAGGTGGATGGCAGCAGAAATAAATACGTGGCCTGTGTTTAGGCAGCTGCCTGAGGGACAAGCAGTGCCATTTCCCAGGGATCATCACCACAACAGCCAGAGCTCCGTGGTGTGGCTGTCCTGGGGCTGTGGAGAGGAACAGGGGTGATGATGCCATTAACTTGTGCCTTAATTAACAAGGGCAAGACAGAGCTCTTAGTTTGTGTCTGCCTTTGGAACAAGCTGCAAAATACTTGTGTTATGGAAAGGGAAATCAACCTGTAGGGGAATATTTCCAAACATACCATCCCCTGCAGGTGGGCTGTGGCTGCAGGTGTGAACTGGCTGTGGGAAATGCCTTTGTGGTCTTGGTAAACTCCCCTGTGGGCAAATAGCTGCAGAAGAGCCCATGGCCCAGCCTGGCCAGGGTGGGTGGGGAGGGAGATGCAACAGCCAGGGAGGACAAGAACCTAGAGGTCCTGCTTACCTATGGTTATTACACATCAGCTGAGGGGCCCTCCACCTCCCAGGCTGCCAGGTGACAACATTTTCAGGAGACCTGTAGTTACCTGAATATGTAAAGATGGATGGAGTCGTTTTAACACCCTGGATTTGATGGTGACACCCCCCTCCGTGGGGCAGCGTTCCCTGGTGCAGTTTGCACTGACATTGTTGTCTGAAACCATCCTAAACCCAGCTGCTTTGGATGATTTTTGGTTCGAGACTCCCGAGTGGTGTATTTGGTTGAACTTTAACAGCCTGTGGTTAATTCTGCACAGTCCTTTAGCAGTTTGATGTCTGGCAAGGTTTGGAGTGGGGTGGTGAGAGGCAGCCCTGTGCTCTGGCAGTGGGACAGGGACAGTTCATCCCCGTGCTGGGGGAGGAGGGAGCAGCTGCAGTTTAGCTCAGGTAGGTGGAGAGGGAAGAGCATTTGTGTCTGAGCCACTCTGTCCCTGTGATCCAGTTAGATGCACACAAGGAATCAGAATAACTGCAGCAACAAAGGGTCCCTGTGAGCACTCCCCAGCTCAGCACTGCCAGCGGCCTGGCAAGGCACTGGGTGCCCACACGGCTTAGCATGGCCCTCTTTTATCCACAGCAGTGGAACTAGTAGGGTACATGGCTTGTAGGAAAAGCTGTACACTAATTACTGTTATTATTTGAATGTGTTTTGAATTCAGTCAAAATTCAGTCAGAATCAAAGAGTTCACATTGTAAAAAAAAATTCTCTGTCAAAGAGTCTGCAGTATAAGTAATACTATTAAATTACATCATTTTACTAAATTACATCATTTTACTGTATAATTAACAGAAAGTGTTTTCAAACACTTTCTGGAAAACTATGCATTTCTGAGACCAAAGGCTGATGAAATCAGCAGCTAATTATCATTGGCTCTGATGAACTCTGGTCAGTGCACAGGCACTGCTCTTCCCCTTCCCAGGATTTTTTTGCAAAATAATATTAAGTCAGAAGTTGGAAGTACAGTGAAGCAAACACACAGACTTAAGGGAGATGGGTAGTGGGTGGAAGAGCACAATTGCTTCCAAAGACTCCCAGAGAGCAACACAGGAAGCCTGTCTGCTATCTGCTGAGATACTTCTCTTCTGTCTCCCTGTGCCCTGCTGAATGTATTTGGTAGCAGAATTGCACTCTTTATACATTTTCTTCTTATATTTTAAGAATATTTTTATTGAATGGTTTGTATCAAGAACTGTGCCTATAGAACAAAAAATGTCAACACCGAATAGGTAGTGGTAGGCAAAAAAATACAGTAACTCTTAATTTTAGACCCATTTGTAATTATATAAAGGTATAGAGGTTTTTTCAACTCCTTGCAACAGGTTCTGGTGAGAATCATGAGTTTACCTTAGAGAAAATTCTGTGATGCTTGTGTATGTTGAACATTAATTAGGAATGTGTTTGTTAGTATTCTGCAAAATTTACATGCAATGAAGTAAGGGAAAGGATCATGTTTCCATTTGGAAAATCTTCCAACAAAATCAGATGCACTTGGAATATTGGAAGACAGCATATATGAAATCCTAGCACAAATCCTTTATTTATTACTGTGTGTGTCCCCCACACACAGGAGAGTCACAGCCGAGACTCACTTCTGGCATATTCTCTTTGGAGATTTTCAGGAAGGTAGCTCTGATTTGATTTCAGAGATGGTTACTCTTTCCCCTGTCCATATCTTACTTTTGATTTCAGAGATGGTTACTTTTTCCACTGTCCATATCTTACTTTCAGAAGAAGTGATGTGCGTAGAGTCAAATTCTCTTGAGTGGAATTTAAACCTGTCCACATTCAAAATGCTGTTGAGTCCTGTGCACGTGCCAGTGTGTCCAAACCAGTGCCCAGCACCCAGGGCAGCCCTGCAGGAGCCTTGCTCTTAGACCTGAGCTCGGCCTCATCCAAGTGACACTTAAAACTCTGCAATATTTAAACATTCTCTGCATTGTTTACAGGATTCGGCCTGTTTTGTTTCCTGCTGAGAAAACTGGTGATGCCAAGGTTTCTAACCCTGGCTTGTGGCCTGCAGTGTGCCCTTCCAGCACGCACCGAGCACAAACGAATCGCTTTGTTCCGCGCGGTGCTCTGAGGTGTAATGTCTACCTGGACTGTGTGTGTGCAGAGAGCAGGCTCAGTGAAAAAGAATCCTATGTTAACATGCAGCCTTCCAGAGCTTTGGTCTGAGGCAAGCCAAGGGCACCCCCGTGCTTGTTTTGTCTTACAAGCAAATTGATTTTTAAAAGTTTTTAGCAAGGATTTTGAAGTCCCGTCTCTCTCAGAAATCTTAGCTGTCAATCCTCTGTTCCACTATCCAGTTCAGTGGGAGAAGGCTCCTTTCCCGTGGCTGGGTTGTCTCTCATCTTCATCTTGCCAGGGCTAGGAGCAGTGATACATAATACACTCAAAATACACTCCCAGCCTGCTGATGTCTTGTTCCTCCTTCCGTCTCAGACTCCTCCTGCCTTCCTCTCTGAGGAGGAACAAGTGTCAGTGTCTGCACCCTATTTCTGTCCTACAGAGCCCACACAGCCCGGACAAATAAGGGAGATGAAAGCTTTCTCTCTCTGTCTTTTAAATGTATTTTGATAACCCACTCTCCTGCCCCTTCTTTTCATCTCTCTCAGTTCATTATTCTTCCATACTCTGGTGTTGTTTTTTGATCTTTCAGTTCTACAACTTTTTTACTGTGTAGAGTATGTAAAAATCAGGGCAAAAGTCAGGGAGATTTGGCAGATGTGACTTGCTGAGAACGTTAAGTCCCCGTGTCCCAAGGCCAGGCAGAGCTCCTCAGGGCAAGTTGATTTGCAGCACACTCGGCGTGGCTCAGGCAGAGCTGTGCTGGAGCAGCCTCTTTCCTTTGCCCATCCTTAGCAGCCAGGGGAGCAAAAGTAAAATGTTTTAGTTACCACTGAAAACCCAAAGCCTGGGTTGGGTGCAGATGGTTAGCACAGGCAGCCTCTAAGGAGGGACTGAAGAGATGAAAGCCAGCAAATGCTGCTGCCGTGGTTTGCACTGCACTGCCACACCACCTCAGACACAGCTGTTCTTCTGAAATCATGTTCCTGGAAAAAACAAAGCCAACATTCAGGCTTTGCACTAAGAAATGCACTGTGGCCTCACGTGGGTCTGTGTGTGAGGGTGAGGGCAGTGGTCTGGAGTGCAGTCTCCAAAGTCAGTGTGACTGCTGGTGTGCTCAGGGGGCCGCTGGAACTGAAAAAGAAATTAAATTCTTTCTACAACCTGTGCCCATGAAAGTGGGCCGAAGGTGGGTATGTTGCTTAGACACTTCTCTAGGCTGAGTGAACAAGTGGCTTGGTCCCTGTTGCTGAGGGTGGCTGTCACATGGGGATGCTGGTGTGGCCAAGGCCGTGAGGTTCAGTAAACCACCAGTTCACTTCCCCCGTGCTGCAGGAATGGAAGCAGTACCTTGGGTGAGGCCCTTGGAGAACAGCACAGGCTGCTCCCCTTGACAGCATTTATCACACAGAAAACCACAGGAACCGCTCTTCCAGGCTGCTGCCCTGGACTAGGGAAGCACCACGGCGTCTCCTCTGGTGGGTCCTGCACTGCAGATCTGCCAAAGGAGGATCTGGCATCTGCTCTCACCTGACTCTGGGAGAAGCCTGTGTGTGTCCTGCTCTGCTGGGAACCGAATATCAACACGCTCACGCATGTGAAAACACGGCCCCGATCACACTGCCAAGATCAGCATGTCCTGGGGAAATGTGCTGTGTGACAGTCACAGAAATTAAAGTTGCCTCTGGGTTCCTTAAATTCATGCATCTAAATTGCACCAACTTTTCTTTAGGAGGAGAAAGAAAAAAATACATATTTGGGCAATACAGATTAACCTCTTTCTTGGGCCAGAACATTTCCCTATTGTCCACGTCTTGGCTCTGCGTCCCATCCCTGCCATGCTTTGCTACCAGCAGCCCTCCCTTCCAGTGAGGGAGAACAGCTGCCATTGCCAGGAAAATCTGGTGGATGTGTCATTCAGGCTCTTGATACATTTTCATCTGCCAAGGAAGACCTTTTCATCCCCTCTCTGTAAAATTGTTCATATTACTAATGAATAATGGGCACTTTTTATAACAACTTAAACCTGATGTTGCTTTCTATAAGCAGTAAGAGATAGCATCAATATCACCACAGTCCAGTATTTTACTATATAATGTACTAAGCTGCTCTGCAGAGTGCTTATTTCTTTGATTAATTTTTGTTTTCTACAGAGGTTTGCTGAGAGCGAGACTTTAATCACAGTATAGTCATTTAACAATAAGTTATAGAATTATAGCTGAATAATATTCATTCACAATGAGGACTGGAAAGACTAAATCCATCATTTAGATCTGGTGCTTCTGACTGCTTTTATCACTGAAATTTGCTAAATATTAATCTGATTTTTTCCCCCCCACATTGCAGGTGCTCGAAAGATTATTTCAGAAGGGATTTACCGTGGCAGCTTCCTGTGGTGGTGGGGTGGATTCCTCTCAGTTCAGTGAATACGTGCTGTGTCGCGAAGACAGACGACCACAACCCACCCCAACAATCAGAATAAAACAGGAGCCCCTGGACTAGACCCTCCCTGTACCCCCTTTGTAACCGTAGAAGTGTTTAATAGTCCCTTATGTGAAACGCTAAGGATTTGCAAAACAGTATTAGCAAACAGACTTTGACTTTATGTTGCCAATAGTGGTATTCTGAAACTACCTGTCACATAGCCAGCCACGAAATGCATTTGAGAAGCCAGTTGTCCGTTCGTCACGGTGGAGTTCCCGGGTGCTCAGCACAGCAGGTCTCTGGGATGGACTTTGGGCTCAACAGCACTGCTGTGGAACAGGCAAAGCTTTCTAACCCCCTGACCCTGCACTGGACTGGACTTCTGCAAAGACCAGTTAAAGCAGTGGGATGGATCAGCAGGAGCTGTGGTTCTGCCAGCCTTCCCAGGGACACCCCAGTGCTGTGACACGTGGACGTCTGTGAGAGGAAGATGGAACGCTAAAAACTGCACTGAGACTCTTCCCTGACTGCCACACCTCCATATCAGACGTGCTTTACACCTCCAGGCACCACGGGGCACCTCTGTGATTGTACTCACCCACACTAGCAAATGGCTTATTTTTATACGACATTTCCAACTGAAGTCTCTCTCTGTGGACAGGATCCAGAATCAGAAAAGGACCGATTTATAGTCAACTGGTGCTCAGTAGTAAAAACCCCACACAAACCAAACAAAAAAAGTGACAAAAAGTTAGACAAGGCCGATTTTTGCAACAGTAGGGATCTGGAAGCACAAAATAAAATGCCATCCACCATCACACAAGGGTCACATACCCGACACGGAGCTGTAGCTCTCTTAAAGCCAGTCTTGTTTTGACACAGAAACTGTTTAAGTTTTGCATCATCAAAGAAACGTGGTTCTGCCAAGCAAGCTCTGCCACCCCTCGTTAATCATTTACTAACCATGTTAGAAGCCCACATTTAGGAGGAAAGTGTAAGAATTTTGGACAGGCCTAACTCTTTATGGGTCTGGAATTCTTGCAAAGAGCTGTTAAAACCCTGTACTGCCACTGTCGGATGAAAGCAGAGGCCGCCTTTGGTTTAAATTGTTTTATTAATTTAAATTATTATTAAAATATTAGTTCTGTAGCCGCCCTCTATCTGTGTACCTTTCTCTGTAACGAAGTCAGGGGTCTGCAGGAGGGTCCTGCTACTGCCAGGAATTGGCATCGACTCCCAGGGCTCCCTAACTCAGGAGACAGCGCCGCGTTCGCAGGTGCGAGGTTATAAATAGCATTCTGCGAAATCCTGTTTGGTGCTGTTCAGCATGATTGGGTCCTCAATAACTAATTCATGTGTTAATCACAATTTAGTTTCTCCCACATTAATTTATAGAATACTGTTGTAGATGCTGAATCTTAATTAAACTCTTTTTAGATGCGGCCATATAGAACAAGGGAGAGAGTATTAGGTGGTCGACAGTTCTTCAGTGCCAGTTGGTTGCAATCAGGCAAAATTTAAAAAGTCACATTTAAGACTAATATTTTCAAAAGCGATGAGCTGTACTGACTATCCAAGGAACAATCTAGGCAGGGGTCTTATTTTTGGAAAAGGGCTGGATACCTGTCCATGGAAAATCAGACCTCTGCAGGTTTCCTCACCTTGGTCACCCAACTCAGAAATCTCTAATGGCGATCCTGGCCGGTTGGCCTGCTACCTTAGCAGAACAGTTGAGCAAATCTGTCTACTTTAAGAGTTGTAAAGTTATTTTATTTTGTGGTTTTATACTTGTACGACATTCTAAAGTCGCTAGGCATTGCCATATTTGAATATATGGCACAACATTCACCTTTGTATGTAAGATATCTGTAGAATTGTATATTATACATTTAATATTGTAAAGAACTTAACGTATAATTGTCATGTATTTGTGTATGCACATTTCTTATACAGTACTTCATGCCATAAACATTTCTGTAAAGTAAACGAGCAAAAATAAGCACGTAGGGTGGAACACTCACTGTATCTCCCATGTTGTTTGAAAGAGGTGAGAATTTTTGATTGTGTCTTCTCCAGCCTTTAGCTCCATTCAGCTTGATGTAGCCATGTCTCACAGAAAGGAAAAAAAAGTCTTTTTATTTATTACTTTCATACATTGAGTTCCCTTTCAGTCCAGAGTATCCTTAACTAATCTGTTCAGGTTCCTGTTTTTCCTGTATCCACCCTGCCGCCCTGACCAGGGTGAGTGGCACTCGCAGCGGCTCTGGCAGCGCATCCCCTCCTGTTCTTACCTCAGCCAGGGAGCAAAGGGGACCCCTCCTGGGGACATCACAGGGGCCCAATCCTGCCCCTGGTGCTCGGCCAGGCCTGCCCAGCTCCGCAGGGCTCTCTGCCCGCAGGACCGGGCGCTGAGCACCCGTGGGCAGCTCTCACGGGCACCAGGGGGGATGATGCTTCTGGACACGTGTAGGACATTGGAAGTACTTGTGGTTGGTTTTTCCTCAGTTTGGTATTTACCGTGTTTTTTTTATGGCTCAATGAAGCAGCTCCAGTACTTGGGGCAGCTTTGCTGAGGTGGCACTGGAAAGGGTTCCAGGCTGCACCAGCCGAGTTAAATGTGAAACTCGAGACGGAAAGTTTGAACCATGACATCACAGCATTGACTGCAAAATAGCACCAAGGCAAGGAAGACATGTGGAAACAATCAATTTCTTAGAAGAAAAATGCCTTTAAAAAAGAAAATTGTTAAGTTAGGACATGTTCTTTTAGTTAGTAACTTCAGGTCACTTATTTAAAGATTATTACAGTTTCATTTATATCTTTTTTACTTATTTCCCTGTATTTTTAGGCAGCAATATCAACGAAAACTGATTTGAATTTTTCCTTCTGGCCTTAAACCATAGTAACGCAACTTAATGAAGAACATTGCTCAGCTTGGCTAAGAGAGGTCTCAGAATGCCACGGCCACTCCAGCGAGGCCCTGTGTGCAGCCAGCAGATGTTTCTGCTGCCGAGGCCGAGGAGCTGAGCCTGGTTTTTCGCCTGATTCGATTGAACCCAACTGTTGTGATTCGCTGTTGCCGAGCACTGACCCCGTGGCCCCACGAACACGAGCCCTCCCCAGCACTCTGTGTGCAGGGCTGTCCCAGCCCCGCGCTCCCAGCGCAGGCAGAAAGGGAAGGAGAATGTTCTGTTGTGCTTATTGGACTCGTGGCTCCCCAGAAAGCAACTGCTGAGTGCATCCATTCTCTGTGCTAATGGCATCGAGGTTTGTTGACAATTTTATTAGATGTTTCACAAAGGATAAGAATCAGCACAACAAAACATTGAAGTATTTGGGTTTTAATATTTCTTCGTGGGTATTCTGTTAATATTTTGATGCAAAATGTTTTCTGACCAGTGCTGAAGAACTACAAGACAATGTGAAATTCATGTTCGATAAATTAATACTGTATGTCACTCGATGTGTTACTTTAGTAAATTGTTTTATTTCTTTACAAAATAAGTACAAATAAGGGAGTATGTTTTCACACAAATTGGGGGTATTTACGAGTATGTACAGAAATCATCAAAATAACGTAACTCTAATAAACACAAGGCCTTTATAAACAATATGTACAAATTATCAATACATTTAAAACATAACTTTACACTTCCTGGCCTTAAATACCTTATGAATAATCTTTTGGCTAAATAGCAGCAGTATAAATTTTCTTCTGCTTTTCATAAACCTTAAAAAATAATTAAAACCTTTGTTTTTAAAACTATTGGACAAATAGTTCTATTTGTGCTTTTGCTATGGTTTCCCATCAAAAAAAAAAATATTGCCTCAAAAAAGTGGCAAGCATAACATAGTAAAAATGGAAAAGATAAATAAGCAAATGTCTCCCTTCCGTGGTGACTGGTAACACTGTTAAAGTCTGAAATACAACTTGTGCCCACCTGCCTGTGACTGCTCCTCTCCGATCCCCATTTAAAGACTCACACTTGACCCCGCTCGGCTTTGGTGTGGGCCCAGAATTCCGCTTCAGCAAAGCATTTAAAAAGCATTCCTCCCACCTTTTAGCTACTTACAGCTATTCCTTATGCTTAAAGCCTGTTCATGAGCCTCCCGGGACTGGAATCCAAGGCATCACCACCCCTGGTGGCACCGGGATTCTCACCAGTCCCAGAGTGGAACCGACCTCCAAAAACCTTTAGAGCGGCTTTAAAAATCCATATAGAATACTCTAAAAATCTTTACTGAACAATACTATCTTTTAAAACCACCATTAAACCATACTCTTTGCAATAAATAAATTAACATCTTTTAGAAAATAAAACCCAACTTTGAATCATGTTACTAACCAGCTGCTACAAATGCACAAAAGGTCGAAGGGGTTTAGAAAACAACTGGAAGCTAGTCAAGGTAACTCAGCTGAGACCCAAGCACACAGACTTCATACACTTAGGATTTGGTTCAGCAAATGGCTCAGGAAATGAGCTGTGCAGTAAAAGCAAAAATCCCAAATATATCGAATTTGTGAGAGTGTGCTAGTCTCTTGGCTGTGCAAAAAACTGCCGTTCTAACTAAGCTAAAACAACACCAGGTATCACCATGGTTGGTGAGACAGCGCCGGTAAACGAAGAAGGAAAGCCCAACCCCGCAGGTGAACACACAGAACACCAGGGGTGGGCCCAGTCCTGTGACCTGTCCCAGTCCTGGCCAGGAGATGCTTTAGGTGAGCCATTGCAGCAGCCTTGCATTTGTGTGACTGCAACACCAGCTACTTCAGCCTTACCTAAAATGGCCAAATGGAGCAAGACTTGGATGTTGGTTTTATCTGTGGAGTTAACATTTTAAAACCTTTTGCACTTTTTTTTTTTTGGTGGTTTTTATATTTTTTTTTTTTTTTTTTACATAAAGGAAATTTATTGCATGTGTCTGACAATTTTACAAAACAAAATTACTGGAACATTGACTTCTGAAAAAAATAGAAGGCACATTAAAATGACAGCTTTCAATGCGAGTTGAGCTTCTGTATGGAGCAATCAGTACAACTGTTGGCTTTATTTAAGCAGAGCTCGATAGAGCAGGAGAGAATGGCTCATTTCTCGTTCCTGTTCCATGTAGAAGATGAAGTCCCTGAGGTTTACACGTGTTATTTTCTGTCGTGGATACTGCCTGGGGGAAGCAGTGCCCAGGCCAGCCTGACTCCCACCAGACACACCGAGACCCTGCAAAGAAAACACGGCAAACTCGTAAGTCCTGCAGCAGTGAAGAGTTCCCTCATGCTCAGGTTTACAGCTGCTGACTGCTGGATTCTTTTAAACATCTTCAGTGGATTACTGAGCCTCATTCTCAAAGCATTACATGTAATGTTTTTTATCATTATTCTTTCTACTGCGTTTCACCACGTTAACCCGAGTAAAGAACTCAAGTGCAAACATGTGAGACAACACCTTGTTCACTTACAACTCAGGACAGATCTGTCCAGTTCTCCTGCTACAGTCGTGTTCCCTGTAGATGTATTTGACCAGTTTAAATTCAGGAGCCTTTTGAGGACCAAGCTGTTTGCAGCAGATAAAGCCATGTGTGCACCATCCTCCTGCACATCCCGGCACTGGAAACAGGTGAGTGGCATATTTGGATGTTGCTACTCTGCAGGTGCAGGTCCCACAGGGGACCCCAGCTCTGTCCTCTGGGTCTGCTGGAGAAAAGGGCTCAGTGGGGGGAGATTCTCAACTCGAGCAGACAACCAAAAATTCAATAAAAAGATCACGAAGACTTAGACATTGTGTGATGATAAAGACAAACATTAGTATACTTGTTTCTACAGCTATATTAAATAATTATATATTTTTTTAATTGGTATATAGGTACTGAATTACTGAATACCTCATCCTGACTTTGTATATGGAGAGAAAATTCCCAAACTGGGCCCTAAGGACGCTGTGAATCTGAACGTTTAGAAATGGAAAGGACCTAATTACAGCCTCTGCAGTCTCATGGAGTTTAAACTGAAACCTGGTCCACACATACAGTTCTTTTTTCATCTGTAGGAGTCCATTGTTTTTATTAATTCCAGTTGGTTTGTAGCAAAATAAACTGTTCTAACTTAGAAAAATAGGGTTTAATCTCTAAAAAGATTTAAGCTATGTTTCAAACCTGTAAGACATCTGGTAAAATTTTCAGTACTTCTAATATCCCCAAATTTACTTAGTGCTGCTCAAACCTACCCTTCTTTCCCCGGGAAATACTTATTCTAGGATCTTCACTCCAGCCATTAAGTACACAGTTAAGGGTAATTTTACTATTGAAAGGTTGTAGGGGAAGCATTTATGGTCTGCTGAGACATGGCACTCTTCCTCTTGTGTACCATAGTCAGTCAGACTCCTTGCAGAACTGCACCATCCATGTTAGTTCTCCTATACCTGCTTATTAAATTGCAGCAGTGGGGCAAATCCTGTTCTCCTGTAACCACAAACACAAAAGGCTTAATGGAGTGCAGTGAATGTGGCTCAGCTTGCAGGGAATAGTGGGAGAAGCCCACAACCTTTGAGCATCTGAGCTGAGGGATTCTGTCCTCCAGTGTGGAGTAGTTTGTGTTAATTAATTGATTGAGCACGACCCTCCCTGCTCACAGGAAAGCAGCTGCAGCTGCAGGGGCTGCTCATCTCTGCTGGAGCCAGACACATGCCCAGTGCATAATCCATGTATTTACTGGTGCTCCGAGTTCAGCCTTTACACCAAAACCCTTTGCATTCCTGAAAGAAAAAGGATCATTTAAACCCTTAACTCACCACCTTCCACAGGCTGGAACAACATCGACCCTTACCTGCCTCCCAGCTGCATCCTGACCACACACCCACTTTGCCAGGGCTGTGCCCACTCTTTCTAACCCTTCAAGAAACCACTGTCTATATATTTATTTTAAATCAAGCTGACTCAAAAATATTTTTCCTGCTTCTCTGTTCCCCACATGGTGCATCTCTCCCCTGCCCACAGTACTACTTATTTCAGGTTCATCCTGACTACAGGACCTGGACAGTGACCAACACACTTGAAAGAAATGTGGCCACCTTGAACTCCTTAGAAACCAGTGTCCATAGCATTCTGGACTAGAAGCATCCCCCACATACTTACCAAATAGTAACAGAAAAGCTAAATAATTTTTAAAATTTTTCTTCATATGAAACTGTTTCTTGAATCGGTTGAGTTACATTTACAGCAAGTAACTGCTCTCTATTTGAACAGAGTAGCTGGAATTAAGATGTGCCAAGTCACACTCATTCTTTTATCTTGAGATACCGAACACAACCAAACGTGATATGAAGCTGTGCACATTGGTAACCACACTTGTGAGCCCATCAGCTACCTGATCGTGTTCTGGAGTTGTTTTACAAGGTGGAAAAAAATCATAAAAATTATTTTAGAAATACAGAAGCACATCTGTAAGCTGACAAAACAGTAATTTATATCTGTTAGTATATAATATTGACATATGTCAATCACTAAAGACCAATCTGTTTAGTACTGCATTGTACTCAAAATTATTCTGCAGATGCTATGTATGAGAAAAGGAGACTACTAAATGCCACAATTATTTAATTGTATACATGAATTTAAATATAGTTGAAAATCATCGCCGAGAATAGTGAAATTGAAGTAATTCAGAATTTTCTCAAGAAAAATCACACATTTTTTATCAGCATGAGAGACTTTTCATTAACCCAGACAAACCCTGTGTTGTCTGTATCTATGGCAACTAATCAGAGTTACACAGATAAAAGCGCTAATAAAAGAATAAATGGTTGTAAATTGTTTACATCCTCTATGTCCTGTTCCCAATCACACACACACACAACTACACATCAATACTAGTTTTTGTATCAGTGAACTTCTAGTTATAATTTTAGGAAAACTTAAAACATTCGAGCCAGGAAAAACCACATTTAATTTATATAGAACACTCTGCCTCTTCATTTTGAGACTGCTCACATGCATGAGTTATGGTGACTTCCTGTCCCCTCCCATCCTGGCCTCTCCTTTTACTGCCTCCTCTCCTTTGCTCCTTTAATCCCTTCTTGGACCACACCAAGTGACTGGTGACTGCCCTGAACTCGGCACTGCAAACCCCAGGCAGAGCAAGGAAAGCAGCAGAGAGCAACCAAATCACCCTGTGCTCCACCCGTTCCTCACAGGCCTCCAGGGAGGTGGGTGCAGGGGGCTTTCCTGAGACTGCCCCCAACTCCTGCTCTCACCAGCACTGAAGAGAAAATCAATCCATGGCAAATCAGATACAGGAGTTTGTACCCACCCCGGTGCCGTGCTCTCCATTAACCTCCAACCCAAGACCCACTGAAACAGCAGAGTCTGTCCACTTCAACAGGCTTTAATGCTCTTCAGCACCCCAACAGCTGATGGGTAGAGAGCTCACAATATTTTAAATAACAGTGTTGGACTGTCAAGCTTAATTCAACT